CCCATTAACTCCTTTTCCAAAATTCTAAAACTTTCCCAGCTTGCATCTCTAAACTTTTTAAAATTTGTTCTTGGGCAAAGCAGTTCTAAGGGCTTCTTAACCACATGGTTAGGTTAACCACAACAGCAACCCCTCTCAGTACCAATTTCTGCTTCAGTCAGGGTTTTATTCTTGTTTTGGTTTTGGTCACTGGGACCAAAATACCTGCACGTACAATTTAGAGACAAATTAATTTGTCTCAAGGTTTCAGACATTCAGTCCATGGTCAGTTGCCTCTATTGCTCTGGGCCCAAGATGATGCAGAACATCGTGGCTGAGAAGCACAGTGAAGGAAAGCACATTAGGATATGGCAACCAGGAAACAGAGAGAGTCCTGCTCATCGAAGACACACCCCCAGTAACCTACATCCTTCGGTCACGCCTTACCTACCTATAGTCACCTTCAAGTTAATCCACATCAGTGAATTAATACACTAACCAGGTTACATCTTTCATAACCTAGTCCTTTCACCTTGGAACATTCTTGCATTTTCTCACACATGAGCTTTTGGGGGACACCTCATATCTGAACCATAACATGTTTATTCCACCTCTTCTTGATCTTGTCGCAATAATCCTATTTTTAAAATTCTTATTTCATATTACTCTCACAAGGATAGCATCAGAATTCCTTACCATATTTTCTTTGTGATGTGATAGCAGAGTCATATCTCAGTACACCATTCCTTGAGTGTTCATTATTTTTCTACAGCTCAAATTACTAAGTTCAGAATTATCAACTTAATGACTGCCAAATCGTTTTTTCTGCCTCTTTCTCATAAAGTCATTGCTACTTCATGAAGTATCAAGGGGTTAAGGTTGTACCCATTTCCACACAGGTGACTTTGCATGCACTTGTCCTTGTCTGATGATGTTTATAGAGGTCACCTTAGGAATGTCCCATTTCTACCTGCTGGCCTCTGTTCTGATGGTCCTCTTCAACAATTCTGTACCATGTGGGGCTCTGTAGTTAGCTTTAGGAAAGTAGGAGGTAGTACTCTCCTGAGGGTCTTTAGCTCTCTGCCCGTACCACTATTCCACACAGCACAAGCCATAAGGTTAGTTTTTTGTTCTAATTTTCTCCCTGAAATGATCTTTCCCTAAGTAACAAACAGGCAGAATGACTTAGGTGCTAAGAAAAAAAGAAATAGATAGCAAAGGGAGAACTATCAATGAAAAAACATAACGGAAGATGGAAGGAGACCCTCATCATTATACAGATTACATGTATGATGATGTGAGGAGAAAAAAAGAAGTATGGCACATTAGATTGGGTAGAGAGAAGTGATGGGAGGAGAGGGAGGGTAAGGGGGATAAGAAGGACAGCAGAATAAAATAGACACTAGAAAAAAAAAGGAAAAAACATAGTTTCACAAATCTGTCAATGTTGTCTGTGTAAACATAGTAAAGTGAAGAATGAAGTTTGTCTCTCTCCAATCATGGGTAACTTAGGTTCATGTAGCACAGTGTATGACAAAAGCAAGTAATGAAACCAGGCTTCACTGCTAATTTTGTGGACTTGGATATGTTTTTACTTTGCTCTGTTTATTTTCTCACCTGTAGAATGGGAATCATGGGATAGCTGTCTCACAGAATTATTGCAATGATCCAGAAAGATAGAGAATCAGCTATTTAAGACTCTTAAATATTCTGGGTATATATTA